CACCACCATCATCATCATCCTCATCCTCATCCTCATCCTCATCGTCATCATCGTCATCATCATCGCCATCGTTGTCGATGCCTCTACAGCCGTAATTGTTTTCCTAAACAAAATTTTTATAATCAGTATCAATATTCTTGCTCGAGTAATTGCACATTAATTAATAGAAACAGAATTTACGCCATGAAACCGCGACAAAACTTTCGGCAGTTTTTACAAAAATTGCTAGGGACACTAGCATTTGTAAATCTTCTTGTAAAGAAATTTCTGTGTTTTTGTAACTATACAATCTTCGTAATACAATTTAGTGTATGAAAGGATACAAATTTTTAAAAAAGATGATTCCTTCCTTATTCCGGTGCCCCTTTTTGTAGAAGAAAGTAAGTAAAAACAAAAAACATACACAAAATTTTCTTACACTTCTGTAATGATATTTATTATTATTTCAGTACTTATAATATCACAAACCTTATTTTACATCATGGAAAGGCAGTCAATTTTGAAAAAAAACCGCGTTAAATGATAGACGTTCGAAGATAATTATGAATGGTATGCATTAAGTTCAAATTTTTCACCTGTAACTGTGATTTTTTAAAACCATACGATAAAATAGATGACGTTAACAAATCAGAATGATATCATTGTTATACTATATCATATTTGTCAAGAAATTATGTAGTATGTCGATACTTTGATCTGTACAAATAAGAAGACCTTCCAAAATGAATTCTTCACGAGTAGCAGAAATTTTGTATGATAATTGAAACTACGTAAAATGTTTTGATAATTTTAAGTGCAGATACGTGAGCAAAATTATAGTATGAATGTGTGTTTGCATTTTGCGCCAAGAAGAAAATACAAAAGGACACGGAGGGGGGGAGGGTGAAAACAAGGTCGCGCGCGCATGTATGAGTATGCGTGTAAAAGAGTGGTAGGAGTGGTATATTTTTTGAAATTGCATTAAATTGAATATTATATTTTTATTTTGTAAATGTATTCGATATAATACGAATTTTCGTCAAAGCGGTTGCTTGATATATACGATCAATTAGAACTACGAATATTGCAACACGTAGTTTATGTTACAGAAGTCTTCTTAAACGGTATAACAACCTTTATTTTGAAAGATAAAGTATTGTGAAAATAGCAGTGAACTGAAAATGATATGATTAAAGTTAACAATAAGGGAAGTAGCTGTTAATGTTATTAATTGTATAGTTCTTAATAGCAAAGGGTATGTGTGTGAATTCCTGCGATTCAGGACACCGGCGATGATGATACGACGATGTGATACATGGTGCCGTATCATGTATTATTACAAGTAATAAATTTTTATTAAGATTTTTTGACTGGTGTAGTAACACTGTGAAAAAAGAAATATTTTCATTTTTAAGGTATTTAGAAATATAATATCTTATGACCATTTTACACTCTCTACTTTGCGATACGTGCTTGTATTATTAGTCATGGCGTCGTTTATTCTTGACGATTGACATAAGCAATCGCAAAAGCGTCTTTGGCTTTTATACGAAGAAGTTATATCTTAATAAGGCAACGCGCACAGGAAAAGGATGGTCTTTCTCTTCCTACTTTTTATACATTCAGTAATACGCGAATTGAAATAATATTATTCATCTGCGTGATTATTACTTTACGTAAAAAAATATGAAAATTCACTTGTAATAAAACACTCCTGTTGATTCATATATATCGTGACTGACTGCATTTGAATTACGTAACTTATAATTAGTACAGAGCATAGGAGCTAATTGTAATGTGCTCGAAGAAATTATCAACGCTCCAAATGATTAATAAATTAATTATACATGCCACATATACATGTACATCTTTACACAGTTTACGTTTGTACTACAAATGAATATTTTCACAGAACTGCCTGCAAAACTTGATTTCAGTTTGAACTATTGGACGTGGAATCTAACAAGATTTCTCAAGATATTTGCATTATAATAATAATAATAATAATAATAATAATAATAATAATAATAATAATAATAGGATTTATATTACATTTTTTAAGTATATATGTTTCAGTATGGTGTAAATTTTAAATAAATATGAATTATATATTGTATTATATGCATTCGATAGACAAACATAATTCGCGTCTACAGTATGCTCAATCATAAAATGTAGGAGTGTTAAACAATTCTGCAATCTTTGAATTTAAATTTTCTAATTACCGTTTACATTTGTTTTTACTTAAAGTAAAGAGTAACAAAATGAATTAAGAAATAAAAACTTTGTAGCAATAATATAACTGTTGAGATTAATTTTCGATTTTTTTTACATAAATGCGGTAATGCTGTGCACTTATTTATTTATTTGTAAACGCATATACGACGTGATAAAGAATACAAGGAAAGTGTGATGTATGTTCATTTGTAAACACATGCTTGCAAAGCTTCCTACTTAAAAATTTGTGAAACTCTTTTTAAAGTAAAAATAGTTGATTTACAAATGTTCTAATAATTTACAATATTCTAAATAATTAAGCGCAATAAAATGTATTTTTATTAAGTAGGTTTTAAAGAGGAGGACGTCCGGTAAGTGCAACGAAAGACTGTCTTTTGAATGAGAACAAATTCTATAATGTTGAAACGGAAAGAACGGCGATCAGGGAGTGAGTTTGAATGCGCGCGCGCGTGTGTGGATAAAAGAGAGGGAAAATTCTCTATGAATGAACTGCACGGTATAGACAGTTATTCACGAATAACTGGAAATCTAATATTATAAGCAGTAATACTAATTACTACCTTAATCAGATTCGCATATTAATTTTGTGCAAGAAATTCTCATTATTCCCTTTGTTCTTTTCGGTTCCTTTGTGCTTACTTATATGTTCCATCCATTATTTTTACTTGGATCGTCTTGCACACTATTTCCCAAAGATGGTAGTGATGATTTCTTAATATTATAATAATTATTATTGCTGTAGTTTATGATTGCATTATTGTTACGATTGTATCTATCCGTATGTCATAATGACCATCATCATGCGGTGTATTAAGATTATAATTATTAAGATTACTACTATCATTATTATTAGCAAAGTTAAATATACAAACAATTTGTAATTAATGTGACAGTCATTTTTCCGTACGTCCCATCGCATTTTATACATGTACACGTATTAAAACTTTTCAGTTTTAAAGATACATGGTTACAATAACTTAATCCACATGTTTCGATATGTCGTCTGTCGCGAAACACTACCTTCACATGTTGCCATGAAAAAAATTTATAGTGATGCAAATAAACAGAATGAATACAACAGTTAAAAATACAGGTAAAAACTATGCTAAATTATTGTGTATGTATTACAAGAAGTGATACACTATATGTAAACGAAAGAGATAAATCTATGGTTTTGACTTTGTTTTCAAATTATTAGCAACCAACTGCGACGCCTATATTAAATCGCGAAAATATTTATACGTATGTACTTACCCTGTAGGAGTACACACAGTATACTTTTACACACTACCACTAATTTAAATTACATTAAATGAAAGCTAAAGCTAGGTAAAAGAGTGAAAGACTGACAAAATGGTACAAAGCAAATTCAGATGAAACTAGTGACGAACTAATCAATCATTGAATGCACAATTATCTGCACAGTTAAAATATGACTGTCTAACCCAGAGTATGCAAATAAGCTGTAATCCGACTTCCGCAAACGATAGGACTTAAAACTTCTTTTCATGTAAAGCAAACATAAATTTACCAAACTTTATTTTATTAATAAAAACCGGTTAGTTACGACTACATTGCACGAAGAAAAGATGACATTAAGCATCTTGTACAAACAATTTCTACGAGAAAAAGAAACGGACAATAAAAAGGCACATTCGGAAGCGATTAATTGGTCCTAGGAATAAATCTCGTCGTCGCGCTGAGAAAAGTTCGTTTTATCAGTGCCAAAACGTATAGAAGCTGTGATAAGGTCACGTGCAAAAGCCATTCAATATTAGGTACGATAAATATTAGATAAATTATTCTGAATTTTTCTGGAAATTCATGTTCCATACCAGAACCAGAACCAGAACCATAACCATCTTCCAGGACTTCAATGCGTTCCAAATTTATTTCCAACTATCATTTTGTTCAACTTGTATTTTTCATTACTTAATAAATAAAATTATAGATTATTTTGGTTGTTTTTATTTTTTAAAATGAACCTATTTAACGATACCATAAGTTTGATATTTATACCATTGCGTCTTAATGTGAAAAAACTGTGGTATCTTCAGGAAGAAATATTTATCCTCGAGTTGTTTAATGCCTTATTGTTCTGCAGTAAAAATTTATTTGATTTTTGACAACTTTTGTCCGTAACAAAATTATACATCCACGTGAAGTGAAACGGAAAGTTTACTCAACTAAAATATTATAACTTGAGAATACTGGAATATTTTATGAGTAAATGATACGTTTTATCAACAAAATTAATTGTTCTTATTATTGATACAACTAGATGTTTTAGGTGTTTTGGAATAATGCAGTTTCAAGCATTCAATATCGCAGTTTTCACTCCTGCAATCGTATTAAATTGTCGTATACATCACGTACAAGTTAACCCCAAAGATTCCCGATGAGATTGAAATCGGCAAATATCATATAGATCAGAACAATTAATTTATTATTGATTTAACATAACGAGATATTATATTAAAATAAAATTTCACGGGAATAAATTACTTATGAATAATAAATTCTTAGGTACAAACGATACTGTATGAGTAACAAACGTGTAGACATTACTATTATGTACAACGCTAAAGGACGGGATTTTTCTCATTTGTAAGTTTCAATCGAATTCTAAACACTGAGCAACAAATTTATATTCTACAAGGTATGAGATTTCAGTAGAAGATTCTGGAGTAATTAAGTCCTACATGAAATCTGAATACTGTAGCGAAAAACTTCACATTTTCATACTTATCTATAAAGAGTCGTATTGTTTCAATACATTATCGTCCATATTGAACCAGTCGTTGTAAATTTTGAAAACTTACTCTGAGATTTGTTTTTATCATACGGCAAAATTTCCGGAAACAGTTTTTTAAATTATCGGAGTGACATAAACAATCGTACAACAAAAAGTATAAGTTGACACCTTGATCAATTTTGACATTTTTGATATTTCATATCTTGGAAACTGTTTGTTAACTCAATTAAAAATTTGCTGTGATTAATATCTCGTCACAACATAACATTTGGCACAAAAATTGGTTCTAATATCGAGGCCACAATATGAACGACATTTCACGGCCATTCTTTACTGAAAAAAATCAACAGCAGCGCGGGTCACCGCCTTGAAAGAAGAAAACGTATTGAACTGTAAGTATTAACATTCGAATATTCTGTTTTCCGACCAATTCTATTTTATTTCTTTTCCATTCCCCGAAAAAAGGAAGAGAAGATGAAAAATGTTTCATAACGAAGCAAATACTATATAAATACAACCTAAAGCAGCAAATGGATTCATTCACTGATTTTCATACAATTATTAAATATTGTAAAAATTACACATTTTGAACTTTTTCCTTTGAAAAACATAAAGTCTATCGTACTGTTATACATATGTATTTATTTTTATGCCGCAAGTGCGACAAGGGGACACAGAGCATAGTTTGACAAAGTCGGAGAATGAGTATAATGAGAAGAAGTGAGACAAACACCGTTCTCCGAGCATCGAGAATCAAGAGCGGGACTTTAAAGGAATGCCGCACGCGTCAAGTATAAACATGTAATCAGGAAATATCAATTTCATTCCGAAGGGGACATTTCTAAATTCTTACGCCCTTGCATCATCCCTCTCGAAGGACGCTTTAAGTTCAGTGACCGCACCCCCGAAAAGGGTACCATAAAAAGTCTACACGGGAGACGGCAACCAGGCCTGGTGTTTTGAAGAGAACGCATCGGTTTTTCCCGGAGCCGCGGAAGGAATAACAGAATCGGTCCGCCGAGAGGAACCGGCCGATTCCCCCAAAAACGACTGCATTCTGGTTGCAGTCCTCGCACGGAGCACTTCGCGATTCTACATTCGTACCAGCGTCCTAGAAGCGGGGATACATTGTAGTGTCTAAAATATAACGCTACAATTCACTTCGGTCCTACTTTCTCAAACGTAGTGCCACTGGATTGTTGAGATTATTTTGATTAAAATGAGTCCAAACACAATGTAAATCGGACTAGTTTTATGGATTTTAAAGGAATGAATCTTTAATTTTGTTAATTACTGTCTCATTACACTAATTTTCTCACTTTGACAAACTGTGCTCCGTATCTCCATGCTACTGTGACGCAGGCCTAGTCTAAACAACACCTACCGATAAGTACATTCCGCCGGGCTACCTGAAACTATAACACAGGCTTATCAAACGATAGCTACATCCTGCCAGACCACACAAGACACGAACAACGCATCAAGGGTCACGTAGGCCCCTCTCTCGAGGTGTATAAAAGACCATCACAACCTTAATAAAGCGCTCAGTCAATTAACGAACGTCACGGTTTGTCATTCTCTTCCTCAATAGATCATTCCACGGTCTGATCTTATTAGGGAAATAATATATTCGCAAAGTGAAATACCTCCTATTAAACATATATTGACTTATTTTATTAAACGCGATATCTCCCCCGTGACACTACACTTGTCCTTCAGTTCGAGGAAGACGTGAAAAGATATCGTCTGTGAACAGTAGGTACTCGAGAATGAATGTGGCGTCAGGGATCAGATACATGAAGCATGTGTGCATGCAGCTGTAAGGCGCTGATTGCTTGGAATATGTACGAATGCAGCTGTTAGGGGAAGATACTGGAGTATGTATGTGTGCAGGTGTGCGTAAAAATGAACGTGTGCTCGGTTCCAATTGCATACGAGTACGATCTTCTTTTGTATGAAAATTATAATTTTGTTGATTGGCCTAGCAACTGGCCGCGATTGACCCCGGAAATAAAGACAAGTTGCAGAGAGCGAGTCGATTACGGTGTGGACATATTATACAAGAGACGTGTGTAAACAGTGAGAGCAAAAGAGAGTATAAGAAGTGAAAGAAAGATGAAAAAAGATATCGTCAAGTTTCTCATAACGTCCGATCAGATAGTATGTTCTTTTTCGATCCGGACCTATCCCTGCATTTTCCTCGGCACCTCTAGCGTGCAAAGATGGGGGTGTAGAAAAGACGAAAGCGGGGCCTGACCTTTTGTGGACGCCATGCTGTGCCATCCGCTTCACTCACTTCCGCCAACCCCTCCGCTTTCCCAATGTCTTACAAGAGAATATAGTGTTTTTTT